GCCCCTGGCTTACTGCTGCTACAAAAGACTTTGGTGAGGAGATTTTTAGGTCTTCACTTACCAGTCTTTGGTCCTACTGAATCAGCATTCTTGGTGATGTCATTAAAAACTTTCTCTGTCTTCTGGGTTATTACATCTCCATCCAGGGGAAAGCAGTCACTGGCTTTCATAGTCTCCAGAAATTAGGGGTGGAATTTGAAAATGGAGGTTATCATTGTTGTCCTGGGACTCTCCATGGCTGTAAAGATATTGGTAAGTATTGCTGCAGAGGCTCTGGTTTGTAAAGGCTGTATATATTGAATTGCATCTACTCAACAGACAAAACTATACCAGAGAAGATGCAGTTCCGATATGCAAGTGATACTAGATCTGCTGACTTACTGTTCTGAATACAATGGCAGGATTTCTCAGTTATATAGGGCACAGAGATATCCAGGAGCTTCCAAAATGGTGGAAGTGAGATGAGTCATTGTTGAAAAATGTCACAACTCCTTGACCCCTAGAAATTGCCCATAGTCCCAAAGTGTCTCCAGGAGGCACAGCTGCTCTCTGCACAGGTTCAGAGTTCCTTGCCAAGGCACATTGAAAGTGAGTCAACTTTAGGGAATAAAAAGCATTTTTTCATATAATATATAATTTCCAATATTCACATTTTAAGGCTAATAAATTGTGTTTTACAGTAGTTATTGATATGGAAAGTTTTCAGTTTTCTGAGAGATATTTGAAATGGAAAACCAAGTTTAAGCAAGTGAGCATTGTATTGAACAATGTATCTATTGAACAACACAGTGAATATAGTTAATGCTACATTGTTGTGTCATTTAAAATTGCTGATTATACATATTACATAATCTCTCTAAAACTGACAAGTATGTGATGTAATGAACACATTAATTAGCTCAACCTACACATTGTATAATGTGTATAGATTCTAAAGCATGCCTTATGAAGTCTGTGTTTTAGGTTTCAAAATATGCAACTTTCTAAAATTGATTGAATTATTAAAACTTTTATCTTCTCCAGTTTTATACATAATTTTATTGTATTTGTGAATATGATTACTTTATACAACCTTTCCAATTGCTATAGTTACCAAAGAAAGAGAGGATGGGGACAACAGCCAGAAGCAATAGCCAAGAGACTACTGCCCTTGGACATACTCCTCAGAGAGAACAGTTAAAATAACCCAATGTCATAAGCAAACAGCTTTGATCACTGACTAATTTATCTCACAATGAACATATACCTGAGGTTGAACACACTGGGCATCTCAGAGCAAAAATATATTTTAATGAATAAGGAAATAATTTCTTTCCTGAAATTTACTATAGGTAAGTTAAAGTTGAAGAATGTGCTTTAAGAACATAGACAAATGGATGGCTTTATTACTTAAAAACACAAATGAAAATAAAAATACATTTTATAAGACATTTCAAAAAATGAAATATTTTTAAGTCAGGTGGTTTCATTAGATTAATTTTCTTAATTTTGAATATAACAGTCACACATACATAGTAATTATCTCTGAATCTTACAGTGGGAGTGAGAATTTAAATGGGATTATTTTGTGATAGAAAAGTGGTTTGTTATTCCTTGATATTTACTGCTATTCCTAAGACTACAGAAACCAAAATAGTATTTTATGATTTTTTTCCATAATTTGAGACTATGGTCACTGGAAGTATTAGGCTGAGGCAGAATTCATCTGGGTTTTCCACAGTGTGTAGGTTTTTTAACTACTCTATTCCTTCAGTTACTCATATAAAAACAGCAAGTGACACTATTTTCATAACATTAAATAAGACACACAAGGAACGTATAGCATAGTATTTAATAAACAATAAAAGTTCAAGAACTGTCAGTAGAAGGACAAAACATGATTAATCAGATTTCACTTTTTATTCTGTAAATTTATTCTTAGTTCCCATAAGAGAGTAATGAAAATAATCAATGAAGGGTGATATGTTGTTGATGGAGAAAACACATTTTCCATAAAGATGCTGTGGGAACCATGTTTCCCAACTTGACAGTGACCAAGAATCTCTTACTGTTTTGACTGAGAGAGTTTATAAAGTCCAATAATAGAAATGATCAAAATAGGTTATTCTGTGGATGCTGTATTTTATACTGTGACTTGGATCACATATTTGATATTTTCTGTGTGTTTAGAACAAAGTCTACCTCTAGAATGGGATGACAATACAGTTACTCAGGCTGACAACTTTTTAAAAGAGGGTTTCTTAGTTGTGGTTAATTTCTCATGTCACTCAGTGTTGTTTGTGCTACTCTTTCTGAGTTCAGTATTTCTGCTGGTCTGAAACACTTTTTACTTTCATAAACTGAGGATGAGAGAATTTATAAGGGGGATGATAGCATGGGCTAAAATGATATTGATAAATACAGTAGTGTTAAGAACAGCAATAAAATTAGCACCTACTGAAACTGTCACTATATTTTTCATATCAGATATTTCATAGATTATGCTTTTTCTGTACCAAAACAACCACTTGACCTTGATATGTCCACATGACGTAACACAAGTACCAAATATTTAAATAAGGATATTGATACACTAAGATGCTTAGTTTTCATTGTAAATCACTCAATGCTAATTCATTTTATCAGACTGTTGTTGAAGTCATTGAAGAACCTTACATACAATACTTTTCTAAATACACATCACTCACCTGTGTGTACAATAAATTAGTTATTAATACACAAATGAAGTAAGACTATGATCATTTGTTTTCTTCTAGAAAGTATTTTTCATCTTTTTAGAAATGAAAAATTAACAAAATGATTAAATGACATTGTATTGTCTGAAAACATTTCACATTTTCTATTAAGTTTCAATTCCTTTGTTATCTGATACTACAGTACCTTGAATAGTTATACATTCTTTCTATAAACTCTTTCATATTTAGATATGATTTGCTTTAGCCCTATTCTCTAAGCTGTGTACACTCAATAGCCAAGCTATATGAAATTTTGTCCATTGTATATGTACAACCACATGATCCTTCATACAAAGAGGCTAGGTATTAATCACGGCCATCTACCCACTTCAATTCTCTATGTTCAAGTTGATTTTTTAAATGGATACTGCAAGAGTATTATGCTGCATAGGAATATCAATATGTGTGGCAAAGTCAAGTAAATATCAAAACTTTCAAGAAGCTATAAAATGAAAAAGTAGTTATAAATTTATGAAAATGAAACAAATACATAAATTCTTACAGATCAAAAAGCCAAACTAGAGTTTGCAGGTTTAGACATTAGAAGTCACACTTGGCATAATTTTCACAAAATAATACTTTATCAAAAAATTGAAGTCTTTTATATTTATTCATGTGAATGAAGAAAATATGGGGAGATTCAGAATTATATGAAAATACAATTCAGAATCAAATATTCACTGAGACTAGTAATTCAGGATTAGTGAAAATGAAATGCCAAGTCAAAATCTTGCATTATTGTAAATTTTGGGGAGGTATGATGGACAGAAACACTGAGAAGTCTAATAGCAGAGTGGAATGCTATTACTGGTGGAGAAGAAAATGAGATTTAAATCAATAATATGGAAGAGGGAAAGTATAAAAGTCAAGATGGTATGAATTTACAAAACATGTAATTTAGACATAAGTATTAAGTTTGTATTAGGAAGGGAACAAAAGATAGAAGGAATTTAAAGAAAAAATTATAGAATCTCATACATTTGTGTAGGCATTGAACAACTTTTATTTATAAAAGATAAATAATTGAGTGCAATTTAGTTGTATATGTCCTGATATGATAGTCAGAAATAGAGTACAAGTATTAAGTCCACAAAATAGAGGATATATATATATATATGTATATATATGTGTGTATGTGTGTGTGTGTGTAGTTTCTCACTTTAGAGTGATATGTATAAGTCTAATTTAGATAAATATTGCACAAAGACACAGACATACATAGCCTCACGTACCCACACATATATACACATGCACATATGCATGTACACACATGAGCGTACACACACACACACACACACACACACACACACACACACACTGTTCCAGTTAGAACAGTTGAAAGGAAGACTGGAACAATGAAAATCTAAATACTGAAATTGGATTTGATAACGTATGATCAAGTTCAATTTTTCATATATTTTGGTTTCTTTTTACATTTTAATTTTGCCAAATCCTCAACTTTGGTGAAGATTCTTTTAAAGTCTCAAAACATATATACAAATAGAATTGATAAGATTAGTGGGTACCATGACAGGGTTCAGTGTATGTTACAACAAAATCTTACTTGTTTTTTCATACTTATACTATTCAGGAAATGTGATTTATTATGTTGCATTATCTCTGGCATGTTCATCCAAAAATGTAATAGAGCATATTGTGCAACTCAGGTTTACTTTTCTCATTATCATCTATGTACCTTTCCTCATTGTAATTGCTCCAGGTTCCTTGAAATGAGGGCAGTTTTACCAGAGCAATATATTGTTACTGAATGACCACTTAAATCCTTACCTGAGGTGTTACTCAGAGAAACAGTGTTTAGGTCAATGGGAAAATTTACCAAGAGCAAAAATGTGTTAAATGGTTTCCATGATTTAAAATGCAAATAATTAAAAGATAGTGTATACTTACCAAGGAGGAGATGCCCTTTTAAGCATATATGCTACACATTGAAGGCAGCTGCTTAGAGTCAAAGGGCAGTCATAACCATCAAGACTTTGTGTTATTGGTCTGCGTTATTTTTCTGTTTAGGCTTGTGGCAAACCATCAAATTGTATCATGAGTAGGAAAAACAGATTTTAAATGTGTTTTTCTTTTATCCCATGAAAATTTAGGAAACTGGACAATATAGGTTTGTGAATAATTGAAGTCAATAAATACAACTGGACATCTCTCCTGTGTGTGCGGATTTGACACTTTTAATATGTCACATATTTTTTTCCTGAACTCCATGGAGTAAATGACTTCTAACCTGGATACTATTCATACATGGATGGATCCACAATAAAAATCCACCAACTAAAGAACCATTCCACATTAGCGGAATTCATCTTACTTGGCTTTTCTGATGTTCCCAATTTGCAAGTATTTCTTTTTGGAATGTTCTTGATAATATATTTAATTATTGTGATGAGCAACAGCCTTATCATCATAATTACTAGGACTGATCTTTCCTTGCATACTCCCATGTATTTTTTCCTTGGAAATTTTTCTTTCTTAGAAATATGTTATGTGTCAGTCACTCTCCCCAGGTTATTAACAAATCTCTACACACAAGACAATAGCATTTCCTTTATGGCTTGTGCTATTCAAATGTATTTCTTTCTTGTTTTGGGGGTCACTGAGTGCTTTATTCTGACTGTTATGGCTTATGACCGATATGTTGCCATTTGCAACCCATTGCTCTACCCTATCATCATGAACAATAGTATCTGTATACTACTGGCAGCTGGCTGCTGGATAAGTGGGGTTCCTGTGCATATAGGGTTCACATATTGGATCTTCTCTTTACCATTTTGTGGATCAAATGAGTTGAATCACTTTTTCTGTGACATACCTCCAGTAGTGGCCCTAGCTTGTGGGGACACTTTTAAGATAGAGATACTGATATATGTGATTGCTCTTTTAGTGGTCACAATTCCTTTTATGTTGATTCTTGGATCTTATGTGAAAATCATCTCAACCATTCTGAAACTTCCATCTGCAACGGGGAGAGCCAAGTCCTTCTCTACATGTTCTTCCCACCTTATAGTTGTAGCTTTATTCTTTGGATCAGGTATCATTACATATTTGAGGCCGAAGTCCAGCCATTCTGCAAGAACAGACAAATTCCTTTCTCTTTTTTATACAGTTGTGACCCCAATGTTTAATCCCATGATATACTGCTTGAGAAACAAAGATGTTATGATAGCATTGAAAAGGTTTCTTCTGAGACATAATGTATTATGACTCAAAACTGCTTTACTTATTTTTATAAACTTAATTTTTGAAATTATAATTATATCATTTACTTATTGCTTTCTGTCTTTCTTACCCCAGCCGTAAACCACTCCCCTCAGTTCTGATAAAATTCATGGCCCCATTTCCTTTAATTAGTGTTACATATAAAGCTATAGACATTAAAACACAATAAAACATGCTCTTTTTCATAAATTATGTGTGGTTAATTTTCAACAAAATGGAATTTTGAGTGATTTGGAATGAGTGCCATGTTTTTCTATCACACAAAACCAACTAAGTATTTATTTTTAAACAGATTAATTCCAAACTTAAGTTATTGTTTATGTGCAAATCTAATTTCAACAATGAAGTTAGCAAAGGATGTTTTGTTATTTTTATGGTAGGACTCCAAAATAATGGCTTTATATTTTATTTCATGAAAATATCTTATAGATATATGCTGTACTGGCTGGTTTGGTGTCCACTTGACCCAAGCTAGATTCATTAAAGAGGTGGAAGCCTCAGTTCAGGAAACACTTCCATGAGATCCAGGTCTAAAGAATTTTTGCAATGAGCGATCAATATGGGAGACTCCAGATATTTCTGGTGGTTCTCTCCCTGTGATGGTAGTACTGAATTCCATAGGAAAGCAGGCTGAAGAAAACTGGGAAAATAAGCCAATAAGCAGCCCCCCTGTATGGCCTCAGCATCAGCAATACCCTCCATTTTCGCCTCATTTGAGTTCCTGCCCTGACTTCTTTATTGATGAACAGCAATGTAGAAGTGTAGACTTATGAAAACTTTGCTCTACAACTAGATTTTTGTTATGGGGGTTTGTCAATGCAAAAGAATTCATAACTACAACATACACTTACTCCATTATAAAGATGAAATGAATTAGATATGATAGGTAAAAGTCAACTATTAATAATATGTATATCCTTGATTAATGATTGCTTCATAAACATAAAATTATATTCAATAAAGATCAAGTTACAACTAACATTAAGTATACTTATGTTAAAGGCTATTACCTTCTGTTGAGTAGCCTGCTGCCATACATGGGTGATAGGTATTGTTTTACAGATGGGCATGGTTGCATACACATTTAATCTCAGTACTCTGGAGGCTGAGAGAAGTGGTTCTCTGAGTTTAAGATCAGCCTTCAACTAGTGGCTACTACAAAACAAGTTCCAGGATATTTAGGGTTACTCAGAGAAATCCTGTCTTGAAACCCCCCAAAAAACCCACACTTTTCTTAAGACATTCCTCTCTTTTTCCTATAATGCCCATGATGAATTCATGTTGAAATATTTTCTTTAGAAACTGCTCATATTTTCAAAATTGTAAAAAATAAAATTAGCATGCCATGGAATTGTAGTATCAATGTTATTAGGATTTCTCAAGAAATATCACTGAAAAACAGGGTTTAAAATACATCTCGGTGGCTTTACAATTTTTCTTCTGAGATGAAAAAGAATCACCCACTAAGCTAGGGAGTCTCTGAATATTATATAGTCCCTTCATAAGTGCACATTTTATTCAGGCATGGTATTTACATAGAAATATAGATTACAGTAAAATAAATGCAAAAATAAATAGGTATAATCTTTTTATATTTTTTTATTATTTTAATTTTAAATAGCTTGTTTAACATGTCAATCCCAGTTCCATCTCCCTTCCCTCCTCCCGCAATCCCCCCATCCCCACCATCCTCCCACCCTATTGCCAATTCCTTCCACATAGGGAATATCTAGAGTCTGTCACTTCACTCAGGGTAGGGTCCAGACACTCCTATAAGAGTCCAGGCTGAGAGAGCATCCCTCTTTGTGTTATGGACACACGATGTCTGTTAGTACTTGAGGGATAAACACTGATCCACTGCTCAGGACCCCATAGGTTGCCCAGGCCTCCTCACTGACTCTCACATTCAGGGGGTCTGGATCAGTCCCATGCTGGCCTCCCAGGTGTCGGTCTGGGGTCCAAGAGCTCTCCCTTGTTCAGATCAGCTGTCTCTGCTGGTTTTGCCAGCCCATTCTTTGCCAATTTGCTCTTCGCTCCTCTCTCTCTGTCGCTGGGTTCCTTGGGTTCAGTTCAGTGTTTAACTGTGGTTGTTTGCTTCTGCTTCCATCAGTCACCAGATGAAGGCTCCAGGATGGTTATAGACATCAAGGTCATTATCAGGAATGGGCATTCGGGGTGGTCTCTACACTATTGCTTAGCTTGCCAATTGGTGTCATCCGTTTAGATCACTAGAGGTCACAATGGTGTCTGATCTGTCTTCTAACCTATGATTCCCTCCTCCCCCATCCTACCTCCCCAGTCAACATTCCTGTTTCCCGATGACCTACTCTCTCTTCCTCTTCTCCCCCTTTCTATTTCCCAGCTCCCATTCCCCGCCACCCCTCACTGTGTTCCCCATATGTTCAGAGGATCTTGCCTCATTTCTCTTCTCTTGGGTACCATGCATATATTTTATGTTCTTTCCTGTTTCCCAGACTCTCTGTCAGTGGAAGTGCAGACTGGCACTCTCCTGATCCATTTCTAAAATCCATATATGAGTGAGTACATACCATGTTTGTCTTTTTGTGACTGGGTTACCTCACTCAGGATGGTTTCTTCCAGTGCTATCCATTTACCTGCAAATTTCAAGATTCCATTTTTTTTTCTGCTGAGTACTACTCCATTGGGTAAATGTACCACATTTTCTCTATCCACTGTTCAGTTGAGGGGCATCTAGGTTGCTTCCAGGTTCTGGCTATTACAAATAATGCTTCTATGAACATAGTGCAGCAGATGCCCTTGTTGTATGAATTTGCCTCCTTTGGATATATGCCTAAGAGTGGAATTGCTGGATCTTGTGGTAGATTGATTCCCATTTTCCTGAGGAATCTCCATACTGCTTTCCAAAATGGCTGTATGAGTTGGCACTCCCACCATCAGTGGAGGAGTGTTCCCCTCTCTCCACATCCTCTCCAGCATATATTGTCTTCTGTGATTTTGATTTTAGCCATTTTGACAGGAGTAAGATGGTATCTCAAAGTTGTTTTGCTTTGCATTTCCCTGATGGCTACGGATGTTGAACACTTTCTTATGTATCTCTTGAACATTTTAGCCTCCTCTCTTGAGAATTCTCTGTTTAGTTCTGTACCCCACTTTTTAATTGGATGCTTTGGTGTTTTGGAGACTTGCTTCTTGTGTTCTTTGTATATTTTGGAGATTAGCCCTCTGTCAGATGTGGGGTTAGTGAATATCTTTTTCCATTCTGTGGACTGCCTTTTTGTCTTGTTGACTGTGTCCTTTGACTTACAGAAGCTTTTTAGTTTCAGGAGGTCCCATTTGTTAATTGTTGATTTCAGTGTCTGTGCCATGGTGTTATGTTCAGGAAGTGGTCTCCTGTACCAACCCGTTGAAGAGCATCTCCCACTTTCTCTTCTAAAAGTTTCAGTGTGGCTGGATTTATTTTGAGATCTGGAAAAACAAAATGTTCTGGATAGCCAAAACAACCCTATGCAATAAAGTAACTTCAGGAGGCATCACCATATCTGACTTCAAGCTCTATTATAGAGCTATAGTCCTGAAAACAGCTTGGTATTGGCACAAAAATAGGCAGGTTGACCAATGGAACCGAATTGAAAATCGTGATTTTAACCCACACACCTATGGACACTTTATTTTTGACAAAGAAGCTAAAACTATACAATGGAAAAAAGAAAGCATCTTCAACAAATGGTGCTGGCATAACTGGGTACTGGTATGTAGAAGACTGCAGGTTTAATCTTTAATAAGCAAATTATAGTAATTTGTAGGTGGTTCTCTCCCTGTATGGTAGTACTGAATTCCATTTTCTTCTTTCTGTTTTTAAAAGTTTTTAGACTTTCAATTCCAAGTTTTCTTTTCTCTTTTAATACTACAAAGTAATCTTATCATACAATGTAATCATAAAGAATACAATGGTGCTAATCAGAGGTTAGGAAGAATCACGAGGTAAGAAGAACAGGAGACGGATAATTGGTACTAAATTGTAGATATTGCATAGCAGAGTGACTACAGATAATGGTAATGTACTACACATTTCAAAAAGTTAGAAAACGTACATTGAATATATTCAAAATGGAGAAATGATCAATTTTTTAAATTTTAAAATGGCTTCTTAAATTTATTTATTTTTTAAACATAACACAAGGAAGATGTTAATACTGGTGTAACAGCTCAATAGACTAAGTAATCCAGATTTTAGGAGGAATGAAGAGAAAGATATTCAGAACCCTTCACCAACTTGACCATAGTGGATTAATGATGTGTTTTGTGGGTATTGCTAGTCAATGACACTGGCTTGACGAATCTTTCTTTCTGAACCAAATCCCATTGAGTTACCTGATCCCCTTGGCTGATGAAGAACCATTAGACAAGGAGCACTGGCATCATCCAGGGAGATAGTCTTCAAGCAATTGACCAATCTATCAGGTCGAGGAGGTATAACAGCTTTAGGGCCTTCACAGATTGCCAAACATTACAGGCACTGCATTTGCCAGTGTTCTGATTAATATAAAGGCAGACCTATCCGAATTACATCTGACTTCTCAATGGAAACAATGAAAGCCAGAAGATCCTGGACAGATGTCCTACAAACGCTAAGGGAACAAGGATGCCAGCCCAGAATACTATATCCAGCAAAGCTTTCAATTACCATAGATGGAGAAAACAAAATATTCCATGACAAAGCCAGATTTAAACAATACGTGTCCATCAATCCAGATCTACAGAAAGTGCTAGAAGGAAAACTTAGATCCAAGGAAGATAACTACACTCACAAAGACACAGGCAATATATAATCCCACTTCACATAACACCAAAAGAAAAAGGGAGGAGAAACTACACAAAATAACTTCACCACCAATAAATCAAGCACAAACAAGTATCATCAATCCATGGTCATTGATATCCCTCAATGTCAACGGCCTCAACTTGCCTATGAAAAGACACAGACTAGCAGAATGGATACGAAG